TTAAACTATGCATGCCTATTTAAATATATTTACACATGGCTTGTGTATATCGTATATATACATATATATTATTCATACCTTCGGTGTATAAGACGCAAGCAGATTTTGACATCAAATTTTGGGGTAAAAAAGTGCGTCTTATACACTGTAAAATATAGTAGTTTGCAACTAAGGTCAGTTAGTTAAAGTCATATGTAGTTATTAATTAAACAAAACAGTATCTAGTTGTTACTAGTTAAATAAACTTGCAGCTTTTTAATACTTGTATATGAGGAGCAATTTTTCATTTAGTACATAAAATTCCACAAAAATCTATAAGAATAATGAGCTCTGCAAATATGAATGTGTTTTCTCACAATTAAAGCCAAAAGATAATGTTCTCATGTAAATGAAATATACCATTGTAATGATTAGAATTTGATGTTTCATCAGTTGGCTATCCTAGTTGTTAGCAATATTCTTTGTAAAATCTCAGCTTTGTCTCATAAGTTTGGCTGGTTTCTTTAGTAGGAGATTTAGGTTAGTCCTAAATCTAATTACTAAGTTAACAGTGCAGAATATTCCTTATAATATAAAGTATACAGTAAACATTCTAACTACTACTGTTCATGAAAGAAATGTTAAAGAAAGAATACAGTATATGCCACGGAACACACGAGTACTAGTGCAGATTTCATGTTTCTTGAAGAATATGACATTATATGAATAATTTGATGTAAACCATTGCTGACAATCTCTTGTGACTACTGAAAGCCCATTAAATGAGTTCAACTGTGTAACTTTAGAGTAGTTTGACATCCGAGATAAATCACTGACACGTTACTGTTTAACTATATAGAGCCAGGTACAGGTAGTGTTTATGAAAAATCAATAATAATAAATGAATAACAGAATCTTCCATTGAATAGTAAAAATACAACCAAGTTTTATCTAATAAAGATTAAAATGTTATACTGAATATAGTATGAGGTGTGTCCAACATAACTCATTCAACTTTAAAAGTAATTATTAATATAAAGTTAAACCCTGAATATCAACCAAAATGTAATCACGTTAGTAAGGTTTAGAAAAGCTCACAATAATAATAAAACTTAGAAAAAGATGTAATAGCAATAGTAAGTATGAAAATTAATATAATTAACAGAAACTAGTGTAACTTAACTAATGACATAATATTATGCTGTATAGATCTGTTATATATCTTACATTATTTATAGTAATCATAAAGTGATGGTGGTCTCCATACTACAGTGGCTCATTATTAAAAACTTTTAAGATAATAATATTAAGCATATTGTTTAATTTCACATAAAGTTAAATAAGTCTAGTGTTCAAAGTGCAATGAGAGAATCCTCATTTGTGAAAAATTAAAATGAGAGCTTATGAGCTCAGCCCTCTAAGTCTTATAATGTTGAACAAATTGTTTATGTATTTAACAAACTGTGGATAGTAAACATTGTAGCATAACTTATTTGGAAATGGAAAGTTTATAACTTCAAAATTAAATGTGTTTAAAAACTTTGAACTTCAATGTTTGGTTAATGATGCTGGTAACAAAATCAAGGTAACATGCTTTGTTTTTAGTGAAAGAGCTTGTTTTTCGTAGTGAATTCTGGTGGATAAATTTGTTTAGCTATGAAACCTTAATAATTAAGTACAAGAATATCATCAGTATGTCTACAGAGGCGATTGATGTGCAAAGCATTATTATAGTATTTCTTAATAAGATTTGTTATGTATGAAATTTCAAGTTCAAATGAATATAAATCTGCAACTTATGGGCTGCAGTTACCTACCATAGGTATTCTCTGTATTTGTTGAAAGACGTTGGCTGAATTGCACTAATGTGTTGTCAAGTAAAAAAATTCATAACTTGTAAGAATTTGTTTAATATGAAATAGTGATAATTTTTATGTGTAACATTATCATAAATATATGTGTTTACCAACACAGTGCATCAATTTATAATATTTCTTAACAGATCTTGAAATTGTTTATGAATCATTTTAGTTTTATAAGTGGGAAGACTAGTGCAAACATTACTAAAATAAAAAATGCTGTTGCTTTACCCTCAAAGTCTCCAGTTTTCTCATTACATTCAGTGGAATTACAGGTGATAAAAAATGGATTAATATTGTTTCTCTCTCTTTGGTAATATTGCAATATTTGTTTAAATGCTCTAATGAATTTCAGACTTTTACCTATTAGATTTGATAAACCCTTGGTCATAGCTTTTTTTTTATCACCAGTAATAAACCTGTATTTGTATTATTATAAAGCATGTGGAAGACATGCCTAATTACAACATAAGGTTCAGAAAGACAAGTACATATTGCTCTTGTGTTTGTTTTTTTTTCTTATTTACATTAGTGAAAAATCTATTATAATAATATTTAGTTTTTGTCTGTCCTGAAAATGTGTGCACACCTTACTATCTAAATGAGCATGCACAAGCACTTCATTTCACTTTATGTAAACAAAAGGCAGCTGTAAATATACTTTAGTAAGACATTTTGTACAACAGCAAATTGAAAGCTTATCAAAGTTTATAAAAAGGTCTAATGTTAGATCGTAGAATAGCATTATAAGTTTGTTTATTGATTGTATTAAGTACGGTAAAATTTAGCCCTAACTAAACTAAAGCAAAAACATGTACACAAGTTACCTGCAAAACATCTCTAGTACAAGAGTCACTACAGATCTAGTGACAATTTAAAAACCTAGGTATTAGGGGCAAGTATTAAAACTCATGATACTGCTCCCAAGTCCCTATTCAACATTGTGATGGTACCAGTACTCTTAAGTGTTTATAAACAAATGAAGAAATGATGTCTGAAATTGGGTACTGATGGATGACATATCCATATTCCAAATACCCTTCCCTTTGCAATGCATAGTTACTATTTACATTCACCCCTCCTTTATGCATATGGTAACATTGTTCATACTTCCCTACTCTTAATTTCACTTTTGCATTGATTAATGAAGTCTAAAAAAGCCTACCCCCCCCCCCCACCACACACACATGTATATTACTCTTTTAACTATATAGATTTAGGTTGTTAATTCTATATTAAAATGGATTAGAATATTATTCTATTGTTATTTTTCCTTTTAGCTAATCCAAATCACAATCAACACAAATTACCTAGAAGATGCTAGTGTTTATCTAGAAGAATTTATATCGGATATTACAGGGTGAGTTGGATATAATAATTGTTCATGTTAAATTTTATAGCTCAGATCTTGTGTGATTTTAGTTCCTTTAGTTTGAAAAATCAAAACTATGTTGCTTTTAAACTAACAGTTTAGAATTCTAATTGAAAATGTTGTGTATACTTAAGCCAGAATAAAAACTAACAGGACCCATTGTAATTTGTCATACACTACTTGCAAAGGTATTAATATTTGAAATTGTACTGTGCAAAAATAATTTTAAACAACAAACATTTGTCTTGTAAACTTCGTTTTTCTTTTTATATTGAAAAAAATATGTGTGTGTGTGTGTGTATATATGTATAGTAATATCTTGTTTGCCTCACTGTAACAGGATAAGAAAAGCAATATGCCGTATATTTCATTATTTCTTGATTAGTGCTATGAATTGAAGCTTTTGTGTTATTTATAAGCTGATGAGAAAAAGTAACCATAAACTTGTCATATTCCAAAAACTGAAAGTCAAAATATTTAAATCTAATATTGGCATGTTTGATTTTTGGAAAAAACAAGTAATATTAATTAAGGAAATGGCAATGTAATCCATCAAATGTTAGTGTGATGTTACATTTTCAGGTTAGTATTAATAATAAGCTCTGAATATGTAAAATTTAAGGGCTATGAATATAAAACATTGCCAGAAAGTCCACTTGTTTTGTAAAATTTTAATGAGGTATGATATCAAAATTGCCATAATTAGTCAATCTTATTTATTGATGAATTCATGCTACTATTTTTATATTTGCAATTAAAGATGCAATATTAATTGGTTTCCAAGGACTAGCATCTAGTGAACCCAGTTACAGTAATTAAATTTATTCTTTGTACTTCTAACTACCTCCAAATGTAATGTTTTCATACACCTACATATATTGACAATGCTCTAGGTTGTACAGTTCTTTCACCATCTATACATTTATACCCACACTATGTTAGTCCTGTATGTGTAGATAACAGTTAAACTGTACATTATTATTGTAATTGCTTAAAGTTTCATCCCATGAATAACATTACATGGATAAGGGTGCTTCTGTTTTTGAATAATTCTGAATCTTTATATAATTAGTTGATTATTGAAAGAAAGGTTTACTCAGAAAAAGTTTATTGTAATATACTTTTCAGGTCAGGTAGCAGCAGTCTGCATTGTGCCAAGTTACAAAGCAAATCAATGTTTAAGGTATATTATTGAATTTTTGTTTTCGTTGGTTCTTAATATTATTGATTTTAAAAACAATAAAAATAAATATGATGAAACCTGTGTAACTTTTTAGTTGATGATTGTGTAAGTAGATTTAAATGCCTCAATTTTTAGGCATTTACACTTCTTTATTAGGAAATCAACTCAAATGTTTTTGTCTGGAACATTTAACAGTGAAGCATTGTTGTTCAGATTTATGCATGTTGGTTTTATAAAAATTTCCAACAAAAAACTGCTTAGTATTTTAGGAAATCAATATTTTTATCAGTAAACTCATAAAAAATAGCTACAATGTAATTAAATAATAAGATCAGACTACATTTTACCTTCAAAAGAGGAGCAGTAATTAAGTCTTGCTTACAGTCTGCACTTGACACATGTTGTGGGTTATGATATTTTCTATAAAAAAAAGGATTAAAGTAAAAGTTTCAGATTAAGTTTCAGATTTCAAAATTAAAGCAAATTACACATTTTTTCTCTGTATATATACCTGAAATGTCTTATTACATATGCATATATATATATGTGTGTGTGTGTGTGTTCAGGGTGGATGGTTTGCCTACATGAAAACCAGGTATTGACAGTATTGACTTTCGATTGAGCATGAGCAAAGCTTAGTGTTTGGGATTGTATTGTTTGTGTTTTAGAATGATCAACCAAGATCACATATTTTTCATTACAATAACAAAATTTTACTTATTTATCTACAACAGATTTTACTGGTTGTTCACAGGTGCCCCCCAGTGGCACAGCAGTATGTCTGTGGACTTACAACGCTAGAAACAGAGTTTCGATACCCATGGTGGGCAGAGCACAGATAGCCCATTGTGTAGCTTTGTGCTTAATTATAAAACAAACAAACAAACTATGTTCACAGGCCATTTGAGATGAGGTGAATGTTTATTTTCGTATGTGAGGATTAGATGTATGTAAGTTGACTTTAAAACGTTTTTTTTTTTTAAGATGATAAGGAGATCATAGAATATACTGTGATCAATTTCAATCATATAAGTTTATCATTGACATTTAAAGTCAGTAATATTATAAAAACTAAAAATACACTAAGTGAATTTTCTTACCTGGATATGTGCTGTGCAGTTGGTTGATGGCCCTTGTATTTTCTTCTTTATAATTCAACAGTTATTCACTATAAAGTGAATTTATTTTTTTTTTTCTGAGTATAAGAAATATTTATTTTACCAATCCAGAGTATAAGCACAATAACTACAAACAGTTTTCTTAAGTCACGCATCAGCTTTGATTTGAAACTTCTTGGGTAGAATGTAAAAAAAGTACAACAATTACATAACTTTTGTCATGTTATATATAAAGTTACCGTGTATTTGAATATTTGAAGACTGTAAGAGTAGGAAAAACAAAGTAATGTAATTTGTAGTTTTTTTATCAATGAACTAATTTCTTTCTGTGTTCAGCTGTACAATTTTAAAAATAATGTAAACAATTTAAGCATTCCACTTGCTTGCCATTCATTGGTAGAAATTATACTCAACTAAATTATCTTTTTTAGTTATTGTCATCTATTAATTTTGTTTTATCTAGCTGACTATGAATTATTATCTATATTATATTCATATCATACTGTTATGACCACTCTTTTGTTTTATTAATGCTGTAATTGCAATAAACTAACTTAACTTATTTAAAGAAAGATTTTTCTTAAGATTAGGTAATTTCTCAGATCATTCAGAGAAGAAATTTTAGAAGTAATGAGTTTGTTTTCTAAATGATTGTAAAACAGATAGTTGTACACAAAAATTTATTTCCTAAATCATTTGAAGAATAGGTTGTTATACAGACAAGTTTATTTCCTAGTTCATACAAACTAATTTATTTCCTCACATTAGTTTATTTCTGACTAATTTACAGGATAGGTCTTTTTACACAATAGTTCTCCTCCGATGGGACAGCAATAAGTTTACTGACTTACAATGCTAAAATCTGGGGTTAGATTCCCCGTAGTGGACACAGCAGATAGCCCAACGGCTTTGCTCTAAAAACAAATGTACAAAACAGTTTACTCTAATTTAGACAGAAAATAAATGTTTGTACAGTCCAGTTTATTCCCTAAATGATTTAAAGAACATAGATAATTCAGCACGTTATTTTAAAACTTATTAAATATGCAAAGCAGCAAGTCACATGACAGCCACACCTGATATACAGCTGTAGTCGAGTGCAATATATCAGAACTACATCTTGAAATTGTTTGCCATTTCATAGGTAGTATGTCACCAAAAATCGATTGCTTTTGATAAAGGTACATAACAGCCCTTTCTGATGCATAATATTTGTATGCTAAATCATAAAGATTTCCAAGATAGGTATATCCTTTGTACTTAATAACATTGGAGAACAAAAAAAATATGAATCAACTTGAGTCACCAGAACTGTCTTGAAAAAAAGCTGCAGCAAGTTGTAGCACAGCTGTGGTAAGCATCGTGTGATGTCTTGTGAAAGATGATAAAAGACATCAATTAATCAGTAAGGATCTCCATGTGGAAAAGCAACACAAATGTACTTAAAATGCTATCATGGCATATTTGTTCATCTGTTGAATACTTTAAGCACCTGGAGAATAAATTGGGTATTCCTGCCATTTCATTTGATGCATCACCTATGAATTTGTATATAAAGTGGAGGCTGAAAAACTGCCTTCTTGACACACCATTATGGATTATGGAAAGCTAGTTGGGAGGAGCAGTGTGTTTGGACAGCCTGACAATGGAGTATTTCACAATCAAAACTGCTGTAGAGCTATTGTCAAGATTCACAGTTGTTAGCTATAGCATGAATGAATGTGGTGACATGGGATGTAACAATGTGGTGAGGCTCCAATATTGTTTTAATGTAATGTGCTCAACTCTGTATATCTTATTTTATTGTATTATAGGATCACATTTCAGTCACTTTAGCTTGATTATTAAATGTACTTTTTATATATATATACATATAGGATGCCAGAGCAGATGCCGAATCTCAAATTTATCTTCAACTTAATAAAAAGATTGACAGATTTCTGGAATTGGGTGAGTTAAATGGTTAAAAGGTCCTAACTTTGAGTTTTGTATTATAAAAAATGAGATGTTTTTGGAAGAATGCATTTGTGTTTTTCTTTTGCTTTTGGTGTGTAATAATTTTATAACTCTCCCACTACGAGCTCGGTTAAATCGGCCTAATTCATGATGCCAAACTAACCTTTATTGTTTCCATACTATAACTTCTATGTTTTGTGTAAAATCACAAAATTTTGCAAGCTTTCAGTAAGCATTAAGAATCATTTGCAGACAAAAATCTAAATTTTTAATGAAATGTTTTAACAAAATATTTCTTTTTTTCTTTCTAGAATGACTTAAAATTGTAACATGAAACTGCATTTGTTTATGGTAAATAGTTTTAAACTCACAACAGTATAGATCTGTTTATACTTCAATTTTATTGCTTTATTGCCCTTTGAACAGTCTAATTAATTTTCCCACCATAAAATTTCTAAAGTACTTTGCAAATATGAAGCTCACATTACCCTATTGAATTATATAACACACCGGCTACTCGCGAGTGTACCTTGTGGAATTTGTTTTTTTATCTTACCGTATCTAACCCAAAAAGTTTCTGATTTTTACATTTTATTTACTTGTATAATCCAACCTATATAAAAGCCAGTGTGTGTCACATCATGCTTGATTTCTCAAAATGGGAGGAGTTATAAAAGCCAAAATGCATTTATACAGATAGAATAGTTTGATTATTGTTTGCCCATTATGATTTTAGTGACGGGTGCAAGGGGCCATGAGGGGTGTGTGTGCCATGTATAATAAACCAAAAGTAAAGACATAGTGTGGGATCACCTAGCTTAGAACCAAGTGCATAAAATTTATCATGAAAGTAAAAATATTGATTCAATTTATACTTAAATCATTTCTGAATTATGCTATTTTCTATTATATCACCACTAGTCTCAGAGTTGACAATGTCTGCTAGGGAAGCATACATAGCCTTTAGTTTGCAGGGGAGTTTGTGTCTTATGTCTGAGCAACAATTTTTTTCTTTCAAGTTATGATTTTTGTGCTGAAGGATAGAACTACTGTGTGGAAATTTGATGATGAGGAACCCACTTTGAGACTAATAATGGTTGAAGATGGCTGATGATGACAAAACCTTGTCGAAACATTGTACATTTGCTGTTATGTTAAACTTGTATTAAAGTTTTTCTTCATTACGCATTCAAGCCATCTCTAACCATTACTGTGTGGAAAGTTTCTTTCTACAGCGCTTTCCACCTGTTACCACCCCTCCACGTAATCTTCTGGGTTAGGTATTGTTCTTTTTTTTCCAAGGAGATCTGTGGTACGTTTTTCAATGTAAATGTATACCCACATTCAATAAGTTTACATGAGCTCATGTGAATGGATCTAATTTCCGCACTCGATAATTTAACTCATTCATGGCTTCTCTGCTCAGTGTTAGGTAAATTAGATTTTTATACTTCTTTCACCATCCTTGCATTTGGAGTTTGTTTATTCCTTCATTTTTGTTTAAATTTTGACTTCTTTTCACTGTTAATGTTATTTAGTTTGCAAGTTCCTTTTTCTTTACTACTAGTCACATCTAATTGGGGATTGGTTTTGAGTCAAACTTTGTTATTGTTTTTCTCATGTTCTTCAAGGTAGGTTTAATTTTATTTTCCTTTGTCTTCTAGATTCTTTGAGTGGACTTGTAATTTCAATATTTAAATTTAAGGGTCGTTTATCTCCTTTTTTTATTCAGAAGGGCTTAGAGGGGCTTGCTGGCTCTCCAAAGTCAGTTA